CCACAGGTGGGCCAAAACCAGACCCCGTAAGGCAACTAAGATCATCCATGTGGAACAGACAAAACAGAAGTTAGAAAACAAACAAATAAAAAAAAATAAATAAAATAGCAAGACAAAAACTAAATAAAGTAGAAGAGCAAGAAAAGAAAAAAAAAATAAATAAATAAACAAAATATAAATAAAATAAAGAAAAAATAAAAATAACAAGGCGGACCGGCAAACCTCTGAGGGAGAAAGCCAGTCGGGTTAAATTTAATGAGTAAACAAATCAAATAATTAAGGTTTTGAATACTTATAAGAAACTTTGAGTCACAAATTTACCGGTTACTTTAGACGTTTAGAGATCGCAATTCACACACGTGCTTTCACGACGAACGCAACTGACTTTCTCCTCCACACGAGACATGCGCAGAACGTTTTCTCGCAGGTCATATATATTTGTCGTATAACTTATTAATGGAGAAGATTAGGTTCTGTGTGACCTGTCGCAGTTCTAACACATGGCAAAATTTCAATAGCTCTAGATTCAGGATTCGAATCCCCTTGTCACTGCTACCATGACTGCTACATTCTTGCTGGGCTTGAACAGCTGGGGCCAATCCGAGTAATACTGGGTTTAACATACGTCTGTTTTCCTACCATAAATTTTAAACATTTCCCGACTTAATTATCCCACATATAAGTGTAGTTTAAAGTTGAATATTTTCCATAAAAGTGGATATATAACAAATCTAATAGATGATAGTCGTTCTATGTACGCTTCTTTTCTTTCCCGCACAAACGAAAGTTCTCATGGAGCTCAGAGCAACCTAAATATAATATGATATATAATAATATAGCGATTTCAGCGTTTATTATGCCGTAGGCATGTCGCCGATTCTTAACATCGCAGAATATTAACAGCTCGTTGCGGACTCGAACGGGCAACTCACTGATTCAATTTTGCTGTGCTTAACCGCCCGGCCTCCTTGCTGATTCTGCCCAGAAACTGGCGCACAGAGCTGGGATCGAACCCGCACCTCCCTGCGTCAATCTTGGTACTTTGAACTTTAACCACTGGGCCACCCTGCCTCAATTCAAATACGAGCTTGTACTAGAATCGCAACCAAGGCTAAGTGTGAATCAAACGACAACGACTACATATTCTCAAATTTTTTGATCACTATTTTCAACAATTGAAACAACAAGTAGAAATATTCTACATGACACAACAAAGACTAGCTGTAATTATTTTAAGAATTATTTGTATTTACAACAGAAAAGTATGACTGGAGTTTGTGCGGTAGGAAAGCAGTCAGTAACATGCCACATCAAACCCAACCCCGGGTGAAAAAAGTTCCCGTTTGCCATGAGAATACAGACGATAGGAGAAGATTGCAAGGGAAATTATGGTCGTAATTGATAGATTAGTTAATATGACGTATAAATTATTTGTATCCAGTGAAGAGAATAACATTACTCTCAGCGAATCATTGGCATGATACCATTGCTTTAATCATTATGGTAAACCAAAAAAATGTTTCGCATTTAAAATTTATTAATAAACTAGGTACTAAGGCAGTATTTACCTTAGTCTATATTACAATTAAGAAAAAGTATTGCGATTGCTGAAACAAACATTAACTTGAGAATACTTCGGAACCTGAACAACGGCTCAGATGGTTTATAAAATCATACATTACATTTTCAAGGTCCAAGAAAATCTGCTACATTAACAGCGAATAAAATATCTGAATGCTGATTATCATCATCCAATAACAATGAAGTGCTTCAGAATGAAAGAAACCAATCTCCGATGGCTTTATACTAACCTACTAACCACAAATCAATTAACTAGTTCTTACATATAAATGTTTGACACTTCATCATTTAATTCAGTAAAAATTGGCACAATAAATTCAAATAAAATTTAACCAAAAAATGAACTTTTAATACCAAAAAATAAATTTTTTTAATACGGGACAGAAAACGAGATCTCAAGTTAATATACAATTTAAAATAACGTGCGAGTTTCTGGGAAGATATAACAAAGGTGAGGTCGTTCAGAAGAAGCGTTTGATGAGCGGCACGACAAAGCGCACCCAAAAGCGGACCCGGCGGTCGGGCTCGGCGAAGGTACGGGAATGATGGACGAGGGACGCGCGTACGTAGAGCTGCCGTCGCTCGTGCTGCAGTCGGCGCTGTAGGTCAGGGTTGCGCGTCACCAGTACCACTTGGCTCTCCAGGTCACGGTGCACCGACCGCCAGCCTGACACAACACTTGCTCATATAAAAAAAAGTTGATCTTGGAGAACAGTGTAAACTGTCATTACATAATACACAATTGAAAACAGGGCACACACTCAATCAAAAATAGACACTTGAAAACGGCAAACACTCAATAAACAATATACAATTGAAAACGGCACACACTCAATCAACAATAGACAATTGAAAACAGTGCAAACTGTCATTCAATAATAGACAATTGAAAACAGGGCACATACTCAATTTAACAATAAACAATTGAAAACACAACACTCACTTAATCAACAATAGACAATTGAAAACAGGGCACACACTCAATTTAACAATAGACACTTGAAAACAGTGCGCTCACTCAATCAACAATAGACAATTGAAAACAGTACACTTACTCAATCAGCAATAGACAATTGAAAACAGGGCACACACTCAATTTAACAATAGACACTTGAAAACAGTGCACTCACTCAATCAACAATAGATAATTGAATACAGTACACTCACTCAATCAACAATAGACAATTGAAAACAGGGCAAACACTCAATTTAACAATAGACACTTGAAAACAGTGCACTCACTCAATCAACAATACTTGAAAACAGTGCACTCACTCAATCAACAATAGATAATTGAATACAGTACACTCACTCAATCAACAATAGACAATTGAAAACAGGGCAAACACTCAATTTAACAATAGACACTTGAAAACAGTGCACTCACTCAATCAACAATAGACAATTGAAAACAGGGCAAACACTCAATTTAACAATAGACAATTGAAACAGAGCACTCACTCAATCAACAACAAACAATTGAAAACAAGGCACACACTCAATCGACAATAGACAATTGAAAACAGTGCAAACTGTCTTTCGATAATACACAATTGAAAACAGTGCACAGATTCAATCAAAAATAGACACACAATTGAAAAGTGCGCATAAATTTAATCAAGGAGAGATATTTTACAACTTTTCATACATTCATTAAACAATAGATAATTTAAAACAGTGAATTCATTCATTCGATTCAGATAATTTTATAGAAATACACGAGTTCATTCAGCGATAGGCGTTTGAAAACAATGCAAACATTCCTTAAACACTAGACAATTGAAACGGTTAATTTTTTTTATTTGATAGTAAGCAATGCATAAATTAATTTAAATATTTGCAATAGAAAACAATACAAACTGTAAGTTAGAAGTGAATCTTAGAATGAGACGAACAAATAAGTTTAGCCTTGCAGGAGCTCATAGGTTATAGAGTAATCATTATAACAATTATTAATTTAACACAAAATAACATATATAAATGAATTTCAATGCAACCTTAATTTAAACAAAGTGCGGACATCAAGATGAGTTTATGAGCAAAGAAACACTAACCGAAATTAGGAGATCCAATAAGCGTCAAGCACGGCAGTAGATGGCTGCCAGGAATACCCATAGCCATGTCGGAGTACGAGTGCTCAGCTAAATATTCTTCAGCTCGGGAATCCGATTGCATAGAAGAGTAGGATATTTCTTTGAACTTAGACTGTAATGTAGAGCAGGATTTTTCTTCGGATTTCACATTAGAGAAAGAATGTTCCCCGGAACAGGACGACGTTTTAGACTGAGAGCTGGAAGAGCAGGATGTCTCTATAGACTTAGCTTGTAGTGTAGAGCAGGATTTTTCTACGGATTTCACATTAGAGAAAGAATGTTCCTCGGAACAGGACGACGTTTTAGACTGAGAGTTGGACTCCTCGGAATACCAGAGGCCCTTGGCGTGGAAGGTCCAGTCGAGGCGCTGGTACTCGTAAAGCTTCACGCGCACGCGCTGCCGCCAGCGCTCGACCTCAGCGAGGAACTGCTTCGCCAGCAACGTGTAGGCCGATGGTATCGCACCCGCTACTCCTGACGCGCCCAAGAAACCGTTCGCCTGCTCAAATGAACCATTCGATTATGCAAATTAGAATTTATGTTATTATCAGAACGTTGTATCACTTGTATGCAATTTTTAAGAATGTAAAATTGTCAATGCAGGTCGTTGATATGTCACGACTGTAGCGCGTTTTAACATGTTTAAACGAGTATTCATTAAATAATTCATAATATTTAGCCCTATAGAATATTTATTCACGTACGAAGCAAGCTAATATTAGAAAGTTATCTAGCTGCTAACAGAAAGGATTTAAAAGAATGAAGCTAATTAGGTTACATTTTTCATCAAATATTTTTCCTTTCTAGTGGAGGATTTATTGAGAAAGTTTATGGTTTAGGGCAGTGGTTCCCAAACTTTTTCTCGCTGGCGCCCCCTTTGGCTCCCCAGTGAATCCCTAGCGCCCCCTCCCCCCACGGACACGTATAAAAACACACGCCTCTTTCTTGATATTTAATACGCAGCAATTAAAAAAGAATGTTATACACAAATGTGTATTTCAAAAATAGAACCCCATTTCGTAAACCAATATATATTTTTACAGTTCTAACTGTTTCAGCACTATAAATTCAATAAAGCTCGGACGAATTTACGGCCGGACTCGAGACCGGTCTCGTAGCCGGTCTCACGGCCAATCTCCAAATTCAGTGACCAAGGAATATCTCCAAAACTAATGAATGCAGCTCGATAAAACTTGGAACACATATTCATCTGAACCTATCGGCGATGTTTAGCTTGTGAAAAATTTTTAAATTTCACCTTCATTCGGGAGTTATATAGCGATATGGGCCGAAATTCGCAGTTATCAAAGAATTTCTTCCAAACTACTGAACAGATACGAACAAAATTTTAAATATAAATTCCTAACTACCAAACGGTGATTTTTAGCTCATGAAAATTTATTCGAATCGGAGTCATGTTCTACACGTGTTGTGTACAAATCGTCAAGCAAACGTGCTAACTTCTGATTTCGACGACTGCCGCCCCCCTGCTACTCATTTCTTCCTCACCCCACATCTTTCCATCCCCAGGGGGGCGATATCGCCCACTTTGGGAACCACTGGTTTAGGGTACAGGATCACCTTAGGATGTGCACAAAGGATGATGAATTGGGCAGTGGCGTACTGCAGGAGGCACGTCATGTAGTTCCTGGTGAGGTTGAAGTAACCCGAGGCTAAGTGGATGCAGCTGCCGGAGTGGGCGCTTCTCAACAGCCGTTCTGTGATGTGCTAAACAGGGACTAATGTATTCTTTATATGAACGTTGCAGCTCGCAAAATGAGGTAAGCTTAAACTTAAGTTTCTGCCCGACATGACCCATCTACTGGTAGATTTAATAATAAAATAATCTTTAATTCTATTGTCTTATTTCATTATCAATTTCCAACATGAAGGAAGCAATTTCTCTGCGAGCCTGGTACAATGGGAGCAAACTTTCGCTAATAACCCAGAGTGTTTGTGTGCGACGTGGAAGTAAAAAGTGATTGATGAGCAATTTCGCCCCGCCGAGGTTATAAGATGAAGGCAGCACCCACTGAGTCATAATCGATGTTAAATGAAGGCATTTGGAGGCTCGGGAAGACGAGAGTGTCGGTAGCCGCTCTTGTTTTGTGCTGATCCGAGACCCGGCGATTCATGTCTGTTGAGAGAACGCCATTTGATATGCAAAGCGAGCAAGAAACTGAAAACAATAGTATTAATTATTAAACAGAAATCAATACTGATTAGAAGTAGAGATAGAAATGCATCCAAAATTTAGGGGAGGATGAAATTAACAGTTATAACAATAACAGCATAACAATAAACAAATGAATGTCAAATGTGAGGAATTAAGTTTAATGAACTGAATTAAAAACAAGTGCTATGAATGCTTAAAATTGATATTCAAGAGTCAAAGTCTTGATGGACAAGCATGATGATCGAATTTTGGATTGATGATGAGAAACAAGCCGTTGCTATGTCTGTCATTTCCTCCTGCACACTCTCAAACTAGTAGTCTCTCAGAAAATACAATACCTGATTAATTACAAAAATTTCAAGTCTTAAACAACAGTTTATCATCGATCCGTTGCAAATATTACACACCCTTATATCACTATCATCAATCTTATATTATTATTATTATCGATCTTGAGGTCATAATTGAGCACCCGCACGAGACGGTGAGCACCCCAGACTGACCCTCAGTAGGGCCGGAGGCGGCAAGGCGGGTGGATGTGCGGCGCACGGCGTCGTCCCACACAGACCGCACCTCACGCTCCACGCAGGCACAGTATTTCTTGTAGTTGCCCTGTCAATTAATTCTATGTGTGAAAATCAATTTCGAAACCTCAAGATATAAATGAAACAAACTAAAATCAGAATACACAAACATAATTTAACAATGTCAAAAAGGGATGAAAAGATTTATAAGTTTAAAATATACCGCTGCATGATGTTAGGTTATTGCTTCAATTGGGGCAGACGTTAATCATAGTGCATAAATACGAGTATGAAGAAATTGCCATAAATAACGTCAAAATCGGTAAGTTTTCCAAGCAACTTTTTCTAGAGACTTGTATTTCATATTGCTCATCAAAAGTGGTTTGCTTTATTTGGTCACCATAGATAATGTATTGATGCGTTTCTTATGATAGAGCACTAGCCAGTGTTCACTGAAACTTACTAGATTGCATTGGTTAAACCTTTGCTTCATTTCTGATAGTTATAAGTATTTATGAACGACAATATTGACGACCAAAGCATGAAACCCTTGTTAAGTTTGAAATAAAGTACACATAGTAGGCAATACTTTTCTAAAATTGACATTCTGAAATCTTCCCGCTAGTATGAATGAAAAACTTCGCAGTTGTGAATAAAATACGTCCATTAATGATAATACATAAATAAAATGTATAAAAATTTTTTTCAAAGACCACGTTTTTCATGTGGACTCAAAAGTAGAAAATAATTTTTCGGCAGCTACTGATCTCTGTTTGCTTTCATTCTCTTGGTCTTTTGTATTTCAGTTAAAATATTTTACAACATCTAAAACGAAAAACGTGGGGCGCATATGTATTTAATTGTTTGGTGATTACTTGAACAACTTCATCGAAGAAGTTGCACAGCTCGGGGGCCTGGTTAATGAGGAAGTATCTGTCCTGACGGTTGCTGAAGTAGTCCGCGCTCAGGTTAGCTCTATAATAACACAGGGATTTCGATCATGCAAGTTGAGTGATTGTCTTGGTATGACAGCTTTTTCTCACATGATGAAAGTCGTAACCTACTGATCAAGACGAAAGTCATGAGAGAAACACTAGGGCTAACATATACCCATGCATAACATCATAACGAGTTGACAGAGACGAAATTACTGACCCAGAGATTAAGAGACTGTCGTCGAAGATATAGAGTTTCATGTGCTGCAGCGCAACAACTTCATTCCAACGCTGTGGCAGCAGCAGCTTCAGAAGGCCTCGCAGCTCAGGGGTGTGAAACAGTGACACCTGATCACACAGATTATCATAAACAAGAAGCAAGGACGCATTCATTTAAATAGGAAGCACAATCTCAGTTGATTTTTTAATAATTATAGAGTCATTTAGATTTATACCAAAAATATATCACTGTGCCACCCAACAAATAAGATCAGCATAAGATGGGATGGTGGCGCAAAATGGACAATTGAGAATGTGAAGTGACTGTGAGGAAAGTGAAGATATGAATTAAATGAAATTTAATTGCGAAAATATAAATAAAAAACACAGGGATAATTAAAATGAATGGAAGTCTAAGAGAATTTAATTAAAAAAATTTAACTCAAACTTAAGAAGGTTAGCAGAAAAAGAAATGAAATCTCAGTTTGAAATTCTTCAGGATATTCCAGTACATAGGTATACTTTGGAGACTGCTTCCTATGTTGTACAACTATCTCAACTCTATCATTATTAACTTGGCATGAATGGTATTTCAGCAGAGGCAGAAGCATTTGCCGCGAGCTGTTAGGCAGTCTGGAGCCTCTGGTCCAGTCAAGGAGCCATAACACCTTCAGGTCCTTGTTGCCTGCTAGTCCTTCTTCCACACCTTTTACCTGCCAGCAAACATCACTTTATTTTATATTCTAAAATGAAATTACAAACATCAACATTATTTTCAATATACTTTTTTACAGCTCCATAAAGCCCTTCCTTTTGCCATACTCCTTCCATGAAATTTGCTCCTTTAAAAGCTTGCCTCATTAGAATTTAACTCACTGAAGTGCTGTTGTAAGATTTTATTTAATGTACCTAGTGATATTTTTAAACAACAGTCCTTCATAAACATTATTCATCATTTGGGTTATTGTCAGGTTAACTGAATTTCAAGCAAAATGAAAAATCATGATCAAAGAATGTAAGAACTTTTTAAAAAAGAAATGAAACTATATACCAAGTCCTGCTCAAGTCTGCCGCTGCCCAGGTAGAGGGAAGAAAGGGTTATCCTTGTCTTGGCCTGACAGGTTTTCTGCAGCAATGTCTTGTAGAAGTAATGTGGCTCAGTAATGATCTCAATCTGTTGAATGAATAGGAACAATTAAAAACCCTGAAAGGTCACCAGAAAGATCTGTCAATTTCCTACAACAATTTTTTATTTATTTTTTTTCTTTTTATTCATCAATTTTTTAAAGATTAATATCGTTTCTAATACAACACATACATACATACCTACCCAAGTTAAACCAATAAAGTTAGTGGGATTGATTTATAACATTTGTGAAATGCATAAAATAACTTTGAATTCTAATAAAAAAATGTTTCTCTTAGGTTGAAGTAAACAAGAATTTGCTCAAGTAGCACGGACTATAGCAAACTATGCCTCCTATCATTGTATTAATTATATACCTTATCTGGATCAACAGGAAATGCAGGAGCTGCATTCAGAAGCCAATACATTGAAGATGGGAGGATATTTGTGATGTCCATTGCAAAAAAGGGTATTGGAGATTTGGAGTTTCTCAATTTCTGTACTATAAAAATTGTAACCTTTAAACCTCTTAAATACAGGAAAAAGGTAGTGATACACTGATGCTGACAATTTTTTTTAATTAATAAATAATAAAATTTTAACAATCCATAATAAGGTCAAGATGCACTCATTCCTTAATCAATTTTCCCTTTTTTCTAGATCTTGAAAAAAATGTCCAATATAAACCGAGCAAGAAAAACAATCATATAAGCTTCTTCTGAGTTCTGAGAAAGAAAGGAAAGTAAGGAATCCAAGTTCTTAGTAGCCTAGTAGAATGGTACAGCTCTGTCTGTTAGACTGCCACTTGCCAGGACTGACAGTCTGACTGTCTGACAGACAGAGCTTCTGTAATGTGTTTACTGTTTAGTATAGTACTGTATGCAGACAGCTGAGCAGACTGACTATGACAGAGTACCTAGTCTGAGGACCAAGCTCAAATAACTCAATCAGCTCATTATAATTTTGCGGAAATTGAGATTTGAGTGTATGGCTTAATTAGATTTAAAGATGAACTTGATGAAGTAAGGCCTAGGATTGAAATTTTCCTACTTGTTTATAAAACCTCGTGACTATGGCATAATAATTTTCAATAGTACATATGATTTGGAAACTCACGGCCCAATCGTGCACTTTTGTTAACAATTAGATGGGAGGTTATTCATCTGGCGGGAATCTTGCGGCAGGCATGGAATATGTCTACTTGGCGAGCCGTGACTGAATTTTTCGAGCCTCGGTTTTAAACCGTTTTATGGATTTACCAGCCGTGATTCCATTTCTTCAAGCCGTGATTCCATTTCACCGCGCCGTGAATTCCATATCTTGGCAGTCGGTCATGAAAAGCCATTTATGAGGTGTGAATTTATTTACAAAATCCATGCATGTGTTACCCCAAATCTCTAACTTTACCCTAAAACAGTCAAATAGCAAAGATAAAATTTGTCTTTACTGTAAGTTGAGCTTGTGATAATGCAGTCTGAAAGCTTTGACATGACCGGAATTATGCGCGATCTTCAACATAACGTTTAGTTGATTTGTTTACATTACGATGTTCATGTTTTTTCTGCAGGATATTTTGGCAGGAACGGTAAAAAATGCGGATTGTGGAAGTTGAAAATTTTATGAAGTGACATGTTTGCGAAGTGCAAACTGCGATTTTTCAATCAAACAAAAATTTATGACATCCGAGCCGCGAGATTTCATACCTACTGAAATTATATGATATTAGAGCCGCGATATTTCAGACAAAAATAGGACTTTTCCAGCCCTGTCTTGCGGTTCCGGAAATGGAGGGAAAGGTCTAGTAATGGCCCTAAGGCCTAAACTAAAGGGAGATGTTTTCCATGCTTGGAACTTGGAAGTACTAACCAATGATCCACCAACTACTAGTTGGATGAGCTGTTGTACCTAACTTGTACCATTTATTTGTTTAAAAATTTTACAAATGACATTTGATAAGCTTGCTATAATATCTTGCTAGAAATATTGGAATGAAATTGAACTGAGCAAATCCAAATAAATTGTAAATTTAGACACAACAGACTGAACAGAGGCCAAATGATAATGATGCTGTTAGCCTACGCCCTATGGTACTAACCGTACTAACGGTATTACGGTAGTACTACCGATTTGGGGGACCTGCCGGCTGGCGGCTGCCGGGGCCCAGGCTGCCCCCAGCCCCCGCCACGGGCCCCACCGTCCCAAAGTCGGGAGCGCTGCCGTAGCCCAAAAATTTGACTCTTAAATCAGCCCAAAAGCCAATGCCAACCCTCTACATGCATTAGAAATAGTCAGTCTAATACCTATGCAGCCGCAGCAGCTGTTCTTACTTGCCTCATCTTGCCACACCAGCTTGAAACAAGCAATGCCTCATCCCACAAACTGATACTACAAACGGATTACGTCCAATAGCTCCTACACCAATGATTTAAGCCCATACCATCACTTCTTACAAATGCCGTAAGCCACAGGGTCCGCAGACCGCACCAGACTGCTGTAAATGGGAACGGCCACGCACCGGACTGTAGCATCACCTTACCCACTTCGCAGGCGTAAGCCCAGCCCTAACGCTCACCAGCATCTTCTACCTCCACACTTACCCCATTCTCTCCACCTTTCCGCGATACCACAAAGGGGTTAGCCGGTTAGGTTAGGTTAGGTTAGGTTTGGTTAAACTTCTTCGCAAGCTGGTACCGAAAGGAGGGGGAATCCATGAAGGAATTTAGTCCCTGTGGCTTTCAGCAAGTAATCATGTTGGCTAATTTGCTCCGCAGTATGCTTGTGCACGGGTGACGGGGTGAAGTATGAAAATTATGCTGGTATTGGGCCATAGTGGCAAAGCAGAGAGTTTTTTAGACTCTGCCTCAAATTCATTTTTGAGTCTTATAAGTAGACAAGTAAAGTATCCTGGATACCAGCATTATCATACATAAGAAATTGGTTTAAATCTTAGCTAAATGAGGAAATTAAAAATGAACTGATTCTAAAAAATCTCTGGTTTCAGTGGTTTGTCACTATGTATTGGGCAATGCTGGGTTATTTCAGTCGTCCCCCAAAGTCAAATATATATATATATATATATAACTAAGAGATATGAATTTTCAAAGATCTATGGTAATTCAATAGAGTTTTGAGAGTGAATGGCAAAATATCAGCAAAAAAATTATATATTTTTTGGAGACCTGTGTCTGACCCGGCAGTCCCCGGCTTACTGCGACACGGTTATGTCGTCCAAAGCAACGGAAATTTAGACGTAACAAGCTGAAAGTTCAACGGGACGCAGAAAAAGACAAAGGATACTACATCATTAAACATGTTCGAAATATCTGTCTCACGTGCGTCTTCATCTTCATGAGACGTCAATATAGCAGATGGGATCTGTGAGTTGTGGAGGGGTGAGTGATCTCCGCCTTCATCCAAAATTTTACTTGGGGCGGGAAAACTTTGGAAATTTTCGGAAGCAGGTGGATACCATGGTTGAATTCAACCATGGGTAGATACGATCATGGTTCAATCATGGATACGATTACTAGTGACTACCAGTTAGCCAATAATTATGTTCATAGATTACAATTTAACACAATTGCACAGTAACTCTAAAGTCTAAACTGTTTTGCACTAAGCACTCGTAAGTTCCACAAGCAAAAGTACCCACCTCAACATTCGCATATTACACACGCAACACTCGCTACAGTTACACTCTTCACACTCGCAAGATCCACCATAGAATATTCTGATGCCCTCTATCGTCTACGCCGTAAATTTCTGTCATACTGGGAAGAAGATTGGTCCCGAACTGTTGCTGAGTCTGGCAAAGGCAGACATCTTGCATCAGTTAGAGGAAATCTGCTGCCAGTCCCCTGGGTGCATGCAAAGTCCCGTCGAATAGCTGTTGTATTGGCCCGCTTTCGTCTGGGACATGTAGGGGTAAAAGCTTACCTGCATCGCTTCAAAATGTCATTGGAAACCCTGTGAGGTCACAATAATTAAAGCAAACGATGTGGCCCCAACTGATAATGCAACTACAAGCCTGAAATAAATTGTCATGTCCAGGTGTGACAACCGACCTGTGTGAGGTCATTTACTACACCTCAAAGAAGACATCATCATCATCACACGCAACAGTTTTTATATCAACATTCGCATTTTCCACGAGCAACACTCACAACAGGACAAGCACGAGCATAGTTGAATTCAACCATGGGCACGAGTTCCACACAACTATGGTCTCTAATTGAAAATACATTAAATTAAATTCTCACTCCGAGTCCGAGCGTATTAAAATCACTTCCGATCTCATAAGGTGAAATGTTATTTGATTTGTTGTGATAACATAAAGATGTTATCACAACAAATCGTAGATAGTCAGCACAAGTCGATATACTTACTGCATTTTCTGTATAACATTTGAACTCGCAAAGTTTGCAGTTACAAAGAATTCATTGCATAGTGAAACTCTTTTAATTTAAACTCGCTGACCTCTTATAATCGCGTCGTAGTTGCATTTCTCCCTATTTTTCACAAAATTTATGGACAAATTTGTATCGCTAATTGCATTTCTACCTATTTATCACCAAATTTATCGACAAATTTGTATCAGTTCCACCTCGAATTAAATGTTCAAAATTAATGAGCCTTTACAAATCATTAGTATCTAACCAACAGTTAATATTCTCTCACCTGACATGAATTACTGATATAAATACCACATTTTCTAAGATGTGCACAATTCAGAGGCCTACGGTTATTGTAAAATATCGTAAAACCTTATTATAGTGAATAGTGAACTTTGCCAGAAAGAAAATATATTCTCAAAAACATAATATCACTGTATTTAAAACTATCTTACAACTAACAATACGTTCGTTTCTTTGGATATTTCATAATTTTATACAGTAATTTACATATTATAAAGCGTTTTTTCGTTTCAAAAAGCTCAGAAGTTGAAGGCTCAAGACGTCATCAATGTCGGGGAGCATGGAGCAGCCCTGCGCAGATATGGTCGCATCGCGGAGGTTCTGGCGCAGGCTCGCGTACAGCGCGGCGATGGAGGTGCCAAGCTCGTGCTGGTCCCAGGTATCGTACACCGCCTGCTCGTTACAACCAAGTTACATATTGTGTCATAATTTACATGGTGGATTTGACAGTAGAGACAATATAATAATTATTGCCATTTTGACTGCGCAATTACAGTGATATGGAACACATTTCAGGCTCGTGCTGGTCCCAGGTGTCGTACACCGTCTGCACGTTACAACCAAGTTACATATTTTGTTATTATCCATATATGGTCATGGTGGATTTGACAGTAGAGACAATGTAATAATTATTGCCGTTCTGACTGCGCAATTACAGTGTTATGGAACACGTACAAACTCGTGCTTCTCCCAGGTGTCGTACATCGCCTGCACGCCTCAACCAAGTTACCTATTGTGTTATCATTCATATATGATATATGGTCATGGTGGATTAAATAGTAGAGGCAACTTAATAATCATTGCAATGTCGATGGTACAATTGCATAGCCACGGCACATTCGACGTGCCGAGCGCAATCTGCTCTGAAGGGTCATTCACCTACTGCGCTTCACAACTAAGCTTAACTTTAATTAATTAATACTTTTATTTTCTTCCTTCTAACAAACAAACCTTGCGCAATACCTTAATTTTGGGCTCCCTGTCGGTAGCGAAGGTGAGTGCATTGCCATGCAGGAGCGCCACGCCCTCAGCAGCGGCCGCCGGACACGCGTTCTCCCCGTCCCGGCACTGGAAGAGCCTGAAGTTCCACTCGCACCCCAGCTCGTACAGCAGCGTTGGGTGCTGCAAGGTAGGTTTTGTTTAGATCCACTCATATACACGGATTACAACACTGGTGGCCCAGTGGCTACAGTTCAGAGTACCAAGATTGGCGCAGAGAGGCGCGGGTTCGATCCCAGCTCTGTGCGCCAGTTTCTGATCAGAATCGGCGAGGAGGCCGGGCGGTTAAGCACAGCAGAATTGTAGCAGTGAGTTCCGAGTTCGAGACCGCAAAAAATGCTGTGAATGTTCTGCGATGTCAAGAATCGGCGACCACTGAAACCGCTATAATTATTATAATTATTATATAATATGGTGACGAAATGATTGTTTACTAATATGATGTAATGGCACTATATCCACTTCAGCTCTATCGATTGCTTGTTTCATTCAAAAATATCCGTAAAGTTTAAAATCATGAAAATTAATCATGAATTGTTTTTATTAAAGAGCTTTGATAGAATAAACTACTACTTGCTTCATACAAAGTAAGTTTAAATTTTTCTGAAAAGCAAACTGCAATAATCGATAGATCGAATAACGTCTTGGTGGGCCCAAACCTGTTGCAATCCTTCTCCTGGCGTTCAAAGTGCAGTATTAATTATAATTACAAAAATGATGTGTGCGAATTTATTGCCTCGATTCAAATTGTTTTAGGCATGCAGTCGCAGTCGTATCTCTTTGCTCATTACAATAAAAGGCAGTTACTCATAGTAATGAAAAATTGTATGGATTCGCGAAATATGATTGCAGTTTAAAAGTTTTTTTTTAACCAATAATCTGAAACGTCGAGCCAGTGTTATTTGTGTCGTAAATGAAAACGAACATGTCAAGGATGTCTTGGTCAGCCATCACGATGGCGTCTGTCTCGCATACCAGCATGTTCTTCACCTTATGGAAGAGTGTGTCTTAGTCAGCCATCACGATGGCGTCTGTCCCGCATACCAGCATGTTACTCACCTTATGGAAGAGGATGTCAAGGATGTCCTGGTCAGCCAGCACGATGGCGTCTGTCTCGCATACCAGCATGTTCCTCACCTTATGGAAGAGGATGTTGAGGATGTCTTGGTCAGCCAGCACGATGCATGGCGTCTGTCCCGCATACCAGCATGTTCCTCACCTTATGGAAGAGGATGTTAAGGATGTCCTGGTCAGCCAGCACGATGGCGTCTGTCCCGCATACCAGCATGTTCCTCACCTTATGGAAGAGGATGTTGAGGATGTCTAGGTCAGCCAGCACGATGGCGTCTGTCTCGCATACCAGCATGTTCCTCACCTTATGGAAGAGGATGTTGAGGATGTCCTGGTCAGCCAGCACGATGGCGTCTCTCCACTTATCAAAGACCAGCAAGTTTGCCTCAAGCCAGCCGCCGTCAGGGAAGCTCTTCATGCGCGTGAGATTCATGTGCATCACGCCAGCGTTCAGGCCCGTCGGCCCGTAGAACGGAACCTGACGGGAAACAGTGCAAGATCGGTAAACCATATTACAGCTTATATTTTTGTAATGCTGAACAAATTTAAGAAAACTAATACGTTAAATCGTGTCACAATAACCTATTTGGCTCTCAAGGTGCAACTCGCCAACGAAGTTTATAAGTATTAACAGGAATTAGATTTTCGTCGCTCACGCATTGCCGCCGGGCTTTTTTTCGTGTTGTACGTTAACTTTTCCCAAATCAAACCTTGTTTTGAGGCCTCAAATCGGTTTCAGGTATTTCATCTCATGATTCATAATCCCAGTGTTTGGAAAGGCTTCTCGGAAGTTAGGTCAAATTTAGCGAAGAATCGATAAGAATCATGAGCGTTTCTGAACATTAGTAATCGATGAACCATACAATAGCGGCCGCAAATTATTTTGCTAAAGATTTGGATCTCGAGAAAAAGAATCGTGGTGGTTAAGGATCTTTTATCAGGATTCGGACACGCATGACGATGTAGAAATAAATATGAATTTCTTAGTCTTCAAATATATCTTCAACACTACAAGAATTAAAGACGGAGTTTTACCTGACTGTTCTTGCTGGTGCCGTAATGGTAGAGACAAGGTGCCATGGCTGCCACCTGCACAGAGTCGAACTTATGGAAGTGCGCCCACAAGTCTTCGGGCGGCCGCAAGAACACGAAGTCTGTGTCGATGTAAATAATGGCATCTTCTTTTGGTAGCATGGCGGGCACGAACAACCTCTCCGTGGCACACTCACGGAACATGTTTCTCATGTAGAGGCGATCATTTGGGTACCACACTGGCAGGTACTCGAAACTCAGTTTATCCCGATACTGAGGCGGGAAGTCGGTACTCAAAGCGACAAGTTTCGAGTAGAGCTCCTCTGAGTCAGCCACCACTATGAACCTGAGGAGGAAATCATTTTCAGATTGATCAGTCAGTTAGGAATATTATTAGGATATTTTATTAGGAAAAGTTTGTTTTACGGTCAGCGAACTGTCATCACGTGAGAACTGTCCCGGAGGCACGTGTTCCTAAGAGACGTGGTAGGGCACCACATGACTGGAGAAACTATCTCTTTCACGGGATGGTGATACATGAGAGATATATTATTTGTATCAGGATAAAACGTCGACCGTTAGGTCGGAGTTGCTCTAACGCTAGTTATACTGCAGAGCACTTGTCAGCTACTGGGGGGCTTTACTAAGGTTCCCAGCCCATTTATAGAAATCGTACCTCCGAAGTTCGGTTCCTTGTGCTCGTGGCACATATGCTGTATAAGCTGTCGCCTCAGCATCTGAGGCAAGCTCTCAGTAACACAGTGGATTCCTAGCTAACTAGGTTTGCTGGTAAACACATGAGAATTTGTATCCACAAACTACTCTCATACAGAACCCTAAAAAATTATTTCCAGATTTGTCAATTGGAAGAGAATAGTATAAGGATAGTTTTTATTTTATGCCCAGCGATGGGATAACTGAGGGCGGATGAACGATAATCAGAGGCGGCGATCCATCGTGGCCTGGCACGGCTATGTCCCAAACAAGTACCAAGATCCATCGTGGCCTGGGACGGCTATGTCCCAAACAAGTACCAAGATCCATCGTGGCCTGGGACTGCTATGTCCCAAACAAGTACCAAGATAACGTCACCTGAGCCGCGTAGCAGTGAGCGCCAGCGCAGAGGTGAGCAGTACTCGCGTCTGCTGCAGCTGGCGAGTCACGGCGCTGGCCATGGCGTGGCCTTCCGCGGGACCGTCAACTGCACAACACGCATCAACTCATATTAATAAAAATTAATAAATTAAGTAATTGCGGATAAATATTACTCATTTACTTTTCATTACATCGAAGCATGCATTAAAAAGTAAAAAGTGAAGTGAATTTTAATTAACAAATTAAGTAATTGCGGATAAATATTACTCATAAACTCTTCATTACATTGAAAAAGTAAAAAGTGAAGTGAATTTTTAAATTTCAATTTACACATTACAGATAGAATAATCGAGTCAAAATAATGAAAGATAATTATATGAAATCAAGAAATACTTTTAATTTATTATTGCATTTTTACGTATTATTATATATTTTGTTTCTTTATAATCTTTTAAGACCACATCTCGATGAGGCACGATTTCGGCAACAGTAGAGCGAAATTGCTCTCATTTTGAATTCCTCAATCACATCTATCAAGATGGATTGCCAAATTAATAGAGAACCTCGACGAGAACATTCCATTCATAGCCAGAGATGAATACTTCCTACATGTCTGAATGAGTGAATGACACTCTTTTACGTATGTGACTTGACCGCAGTTAGAATAGAATAGAATAGAATAGAATAGAAGTGTCGGCGCTGAAGAAATAGGCCCATGGCCTGTTGCCGATTCTTGAACTTTTCGTGACTTGATAGTAATTCGCTACGCAACAAGCTCAGTTCTTTCTTGTGGTTCTTTCACAGGTGTGCTATAACATCATTACATTCAAACACACGTGTTGTATAAAATCAATTAATCTATGATAATTCATATCATATTATTGATATTAATTAAATGCACGTGGTATATTAATTTTTAAATGATATAACCAATTTCAATTTTATACCTAGTAAAGTGGACATATATAATAGCACTAAAAGTCTAAAATAGATGACGCATGCTAAAAATCTGGATTTATGAAAGAGAAAGTATTAACGATACATATTATATGCAAGATATAAATATTCTCAATAAACGCTCACAATATTAAAATTGTACGAATTAACTTTACGACTTGCTTTCATGAATACAATCCAAGTATATATTATATCTTTCAATTACCCCTATACCGCCGTATATCACTCTCCGGGGACATAATTTTCAACTTAAATTATACGGAAACTATTGAGTGTAGCAACCTGAGGACGTTTGTACGCAACTGAGAATATTTTAAAGTTGTCTTACGTGGCGGCAACCATCAGTGCAAGTCATTTTGCGCTCACTAGAACGTATCCTTTTTGGGAAGTGATTATTATTATTATTATTCCACGAAGAAATTGTCGTGGCGTCTCGTTCAGATCGAACTTCGAGGGCACGTTACAAGTGGCTAAAAAAGACACGAGAGGATAAAAACAGATGACGTCTATGCTAAAACAGAGGACATATGCCAAGACTGACGTCTATGCTAGAACAAACAACACCTATGCTAAACCAGTAATATCCATGATAGATTAGATGACGGCTAGGACTAAGATTCAAAGGCTCTACGAAAAAGTCCTTTTTTTAGGCGTCTACGAAACAACGGCAATGTGATATGTTACTCCGGTTACTGATCGCTCCGGCTACTGATGTCAGGCGGTAAAGGGTTTTGACTTATGAGCTTAATTCTACACTCACCTTGGCACAAGATGAGTAGGAAGACTACCTCTTTGGGCAGTGGTTGGAGATCGTCTGCCAAGAAACATTTAAATTACTTACGTTGAATTATTGGCCTTAATAACTAGCTTATGCCTGTAAATGCCATAATCTTTATTTTGTTAAACAATTTGAATACGTCTTTTAAGTGATATCTGTAACTGGCGGGTGTAAATCACGTATCATAAAATGTCTTGAATCCAATTAAATCTTTATTAGCGTCAATTAAAGCCTAACAAGCGTTGAATAAAACCTACGACCTTTTGATTAGATTTTTCATTAGATTATTAACCTACACACGAATATATAACTGTGATTATTTTGAAGCACAAACCTTGGTGGTCCAGCAGACCAGCAGCGGGCTGATCGTCCAGCAGAAGGTGCAGACACACCAGACCGCACAGCACCAGAAACAGCAGCGCATCTCTGCGCTGCCAACGTAAAGATATAAATTTTTGAGGAAAAATAATGTGAAATATCAATCCTGAAACGTGTCATTACCGATACCCACGTAAATATATAACAGATTAAGGAAAAATGCAGAGAAATGCTAACCTGTCATTATCCGATGCCTTCTGAATCGTAACCGGTTTATGATGTTGCCAATTCATCAAAACTATTCAGCGTTTCAAATTCGCTGCTATCGATAAATAGTTACGAGAGATTGTTCATGAATATTAATCTTCAGTTAAGTTTAAATTTCACAAACATTAGTCTTACCTTCAGGCAAAGTCTGTATAACATTTCCCGTATTTTGGTTATCGAAAATCACACAGATAGCCGCGAGATCCTGTAATGATGGCCTCGAAATAAATACTTTAAAAAGGTCACATTTGCGTTCACCAGCTTATTCAGCCATCTTCCGTTCTATGGATTAAATTTCAAAGAGAATGAACATTGGTCTTACAATTATGTAATTTTAATTCGTAATTTTTGAGATTCATAGATACCAGAAGGGTTCAGATTATATAGAGGTATGAATTGTCTATATCGCACATGCTGCATCATATTTATCGATATTCAATTCAGTGCAAGAACTTGAATCTGGTTTTCAATCTATTTGTTCGTGCTGGTACAACTTTCGATAAATGTTTTGATCTCGCGAACCTACGAGTACTCAAGTTTTATACGTGTACATTAAGGGCGATGGTGCTATGTTTTTGGTTGAATCAAGCAGTTAAAACTGTATACAAGAATTCTAGAAGCCATATTAGGCATAAGTCGCACACAAGACAACTACACACAACAAACCTCACTCAACCCCGGCGCTGCGGGTACTGATCTGCTGGGCAGCGGGCACTCGGCACCGCAGAATGGCAGGCTGACAGGTTGCGATTACCGTTATTCTTCCGCCCATAGGAGTCCATCCAGGTCAGTGAACCTAACTGTAGTCATCCGCGAACCCTGCGAGGTTTGGGACGTTGTGCCTGGACCTAGGCAAACACAGGCAAAAAGCACCATATCAACTATACAAAAGTCGTCCCAGCAGTGGTTGACACGATTAATTGATGAAAAAGAATTTAGAAATCCCGAAATCAGGGGTTTCATATAAGCAACATTTACGCAAGGACTCATCAACGGTTGATACGAGATGTCAGGCATTGTAGTCTAAGTAATTCTTCGATGTGCGACCATTAATTGTGGTAATACATGGAAATACCATAATACTGTACAATTATCACAATACCTAGTGATAATCAAAATACAGGAACACGAAGGCAAGGTTCCAATTATTAACACCAGAATATAATGTTCTTTCAGTTTAAATAACTACTGTCGTTTCTCCTTTCAACGTTTCATACGACGTTTACACAGATTTCGTTGAACATCCCGATATAACAGCAAAAATCTTACTTGAAAGTATCTGACAAGTAGCAAATCAGTGATTGCAGAACCAGTGTAACATTTAGTATTCTGTTTATGAATTGTTCGACATTGTAATCTCTGATTGATGACATCAGAGAATCACTTCTCAGGTCACCAACGTCAGAGTTGTTGTTGTTGTACGTCTTTCATTAATGAAATCGCTACGTCATCATAAACATTATTATTTCAAAACAAGGACCAACGACCAACGCGTCTTTCTGGCAGCATGGCAGATGGTATAGGCGGGGGTTGCACCCTCCATTTAACTGCGTGACATCTCATTCTTCCGTCACTGGTGAATGACGTCAAGTTTACAGATCTTTATCGCAGTAAAGTTTATACTGTTCAGGCGATAACACTTCCTTACAAGCGCTGCTTATAATTCACGGCTTTATTACGTGTAAGTCTTCCGTTGCGATCACACATCATAGGATTGTGCATGACTAAGAACCTCATGTCCGCTGATAACTTATCAGCTGGAAGCCGCGAGTTTCCTACATGGGTAGCGTGAATCTTTCAACTTTATACAGGGTGAGTAGCAAATGATGGAGGTAAAAGAACTTTAATACCAGTAAGAACATATAGTGGCTATAGTATACGGCCAGAACTGCCGTAATGCGGCTTGAGAAGCTCATTGACCATTGACGGCCGGTCCCTGACTCCCAGCTCCACAACACGACCGGTACGGTCGAGAAAATGGACGCTTATTGTGTTAGACATCGAAACGGTACGGCAGTCGTGCTGCTCTAAGACATCGCGTAACGGTTCAACGGCATTCCAGTGAAACGGCAGAAATGCCCTCATCTCGAAAACGGGATCCCTACATCTCTATCACACAATCCCTAGCTAAACCAAATGGTCCCTTTGTTGTTCAACACAGTATCCTTATTTCCGTCACAAGATACTATCTATTATCTCGGCAGCAGAACTACCATTAACGTAATGGTTATTGAGCCACTGATGGCAATATTGGCATCATAGACTTATGACAATGGCCATTCTCTAGTGGTATATAGTAATGATAGTAGAAGAAATGCGCAGTGGTTCAGATGTACATGCGAAATTCTTAACAAATCCGCCGACAATATTCGAAAAGATGTCGCGTACAGATGCAAGAAGGAAAAATTGTTAATTGCTCTGGCCGAAACCCAGTTGTGTTCAAGCTGAGAGGTGTGTTCTTACGTAGCTTAAACATCAAAATAAAGCAACGAAACAAGGCAATACAGGTACAGCGATGGACATGTGAAAGGTACAGGCAGGGTAGTCATGTCAGTGGCTATCGCCAGTAGATGCTATCAAACATGACGTGTGCTGATATGGCTTATCAGGAGGCGATATCTTTCGCTGGCCGAGAAGTGGAGTGGCATTGTACTGTTATCCATCAGAGGAAGACGTGGTAGAGAGGATGATCTTCAAAATAGCAAGTTTTCTGAAATGTCAGGAAGCTAATGGTGATTTTGACAAGTATTTACCTCTGCAATACATCTATGTTTTAGGCTGACATTCAGATCAGGTTATCCAATTATCCGGCTCTGCCTTTTGGTGTTACTTCAGCACACGATTTTCCCAGAGTTCGACTGCTACCGAAGACTGTTTTTCCCTGCAGTGAGACTGTTTTTCCCTGTGTTCGACTGCTCGAAGCGGAGGTTGTCCTTTCTACAATTGATTCAGACTTGAAGTAGCATTTCTAGATCAACATGTTGGATAGCCTTTGGTGAGGTAAAGACCATTGAAAATACCTCATCTGTCGAGGATGTAAAATATTTGGCGCAGTGAATTTGCTGCACCACGCAGTGAAATTATGCGTTGAGATGAATAATATACGTTGAGGTTCAAGAAGAATGTATAGTAGTTATAACATTACTTGGTTACAAAATTGAGGAAAGTTTGTTAAATTTGTTATGTAATATTCTGCGATGATCGTGAACAATTTGTAACGGAACCAGTAGGAAAGATGTTTGATATATTGTTGCAGATTTCTGTCATCATCCGTGGCTGCGTGCGACTTTCATTGTGTTTGTATCTGTGCGAATTCATAATTGCTGTGTCATCACGACGTCATGCGAACGTCGCATTATACCGCCCAATCAGGACTCTACATTGGCAACCAATATCTTCTTTTGACCCGCTTTAAGAGGACTTAGTTGTTCACCCTCCGCCTCATGTTCAGAAATGGGCAATATAGATGAGACACTGCAGCGCATTGTGGTTAAGGGAGTGAGCTTGAAGCCTTGATGATTTTTCTGTCAGTCTAAGAAACTACCTTGACCCTGGATAATTAAGGAAGAGAGGACTCCAGTTATTAGAAGCTACATCTTTTTGATAGCATTTCCTCTCCCGAAGGGACTTGATATTCCGAAAGAAGAACCAGATTGTTACCTGCCAATGTCGGACTTCTGTTACTGGGTTCGCATCGATGAATTGTTCACCAACTGCAATATGCAGCAGTAATTCTGCGATTTATTCAAAAATTTTAAGCTTACTGACATTCTATGCAAAGACAACGGCCTAATGACGCAACGAATTTGGCTACCTGCCCAAGAAACTGTTGTATTTGTGCATCATTGCTTGCAGTATCTCTCGTGATTCAAAGCTCGTAAATGATCATAAAAGTCCGTGTCCTGTCAGTGATTGGCAGGCTATACTTGTCTATCTGACAGCTGATTGGCTGTGAGTGCGTTATTTGTTTCGTTTTTACTGACTCTCGGGAGGGAGCAAAGTCACCGTAAAACTTTGACAGAAATTTTTGGTTGTGATTTGCTTGAGTTTTGCTATTTGGTATCGGACTTGATGATTTCTTCAGCCCTGCTACCAGAATCGAAAGCATTCATGAACTGTTACAACTTATGTGATGCAATGAATGAGAAAAATATTCGTCTAGCATCGTATCGGCACGAGCACGTTTCTTTGCTCGAAGAATTAGTTTTATAACATAACTTTATTTATTAATCGTTAAACTGGTTTTGTCAAATCAAATGTTGATTCAAATCTTCATATTGACGTCAAAGCCATACATGAAGCTTTTGCAAGGTTTGACCCATGAAAACTATTTAATCCTAATTACCTAACGTGTTTCGGCTTCGCATCCGAAATAATTGAAAGCTTTCTGCCCAAAAGATTTAAAGTAAGATTTCTTTAATACTTAATTAACGCATGCTAACCTACAAGTTTTCTCGGTTCATAATTTAGAGATAGGCTTTCTTAAAAAAAGGTCTTCCTAAGTCATAACACATGTGATATTCCATGACTCGCGCGATGCGATTGCGGCGTACGTCTGCATGACGTCACACTCCTTCTGCGCCAGATTAGATGAGCATCGAGGTAGTAGTTATCGTACTGAATATCTGCTTGTGCCTCCACCTCATCCATCCGTACGCATCTGTGCAAACAGAAGAACATCCTGGTAACAGATTCTGCCATTTTATGTTGGACTTATGAATAAACAATGAGCGTTTGACTAGTTTGCTTTTTATCAGCATCAAAACGCAGCATCATCAGTAACAGCATCACCAGAAACAGCATCAACAGCAACAACAGCAACGACAGAAACCTGCCAGCAGTGTCACTGCATCAACAGTACCACTGCATCAACAGTAGAAGTATGCCACGGACCACCATGTTAACACAGGCGCGCAATCAGATGGAGTGGATGAATAAACAAGTCGATTTTTCCACGGCTTTTACCCGAGTGAAGGAATTGATAACGCGATGTAAACTGTTGATGGTCAGCCAGCCACCAAAGGGTTGTGGTAAGGTTAGGTGGTAAACAAACTCTGCTGCTCTAGCAACCGTGTGTCTACAGCACAGCAGTTCTGGGATGACCTGCGTCTGTAGCAGTGCTCTTGAAATCTGGGTGTCATGTACAGTACCTGTGTAACCGACATCTACAGTAGTTCTAGGATAACCTTCGTGCACAGCAGTGCTGTCTGCGTGTCTTGTACAGTGCCTGTGTAACCGACATCTACAGCAGTTATAGGATAACCTGTATGCACATTGCACAGCCATGGCAGCCAGCATCTACGTTGTTATTGTGTCCACAGCAGTGCTTGAGTGACCTGAATCTATTACAGTTCAAGTGCAAGCTGCGTCTTGTGCAATGCTAGGAGTAACCGACGAGAGCAGAAGCGCACTGACAACTTACGTCTGCTTAAGTTGTGAACGGAAATCCTGCCGCAGCGCTGAAGGCTGTGGCTCTTGTGCATACAATAGCTCCAAATCCTAACCGCGGAATCTAAATATTAGGCGAGGATAAAACGGCCACGCTGTAGTTGTGCCCAACAGCTTGAGTTTGAGGCCCAAACTTTGTGCGTTTTTACTGCGATGACAATATTCCTGCAAGACCAGCAAAGTAGAATAATTATACCCACCGGTGTTACGGTATATGCTGGTTTTCACTTCTGTAAGGTGACGATGTTGAATAGATAGTACCATTCCCATTCGTCCCAGGATATTTCCTCATTGATGTCTTCCTTGTTGAAAGATAATCTCCATCATTTCGATATGTTCATAAACATTTCCTTGTGTTAGCCTTCCCTGTTTATCAAGTCACGCCCTTGTGACGTCAAATGGCGAATCTATATGAGCTCTGCCCAGAACCGGTAACTTCAGTCTTGGGCCATTCTCGGGAATTTTTGTCTGTCTGTATACGCATTGCTCCTGTCCATGTCAAACAGGACAGTACTGCTAACTGAACCTCCGAGTAGAGAATGCCCCTCGGACTTATTAGATTTACTTTAACCGGACGCCGAAGACATAAGTGTTAAAGCTCCACCATATAACCCTATTTCCTTCTAAATTGTAAGCCGAGTATTCGTCCTAAATAATATTATATAATCGTTTACGCTGTTCCTCACTATCCTCGGATTATGCTACATTCGGACCAACCCTCAGGTCGTACGGAATTACTACTACTATTCATGTAAGATGTGCACAATAAAGAAACATCTGACACTTCGGGTATAAGTTTTCGTGCTGAATGCGAAACCAGAAAGTGATTTGTGCGTGGTGACGCAATGATCGTGTGCTGGTAACTTTTTGACGTCAGTGCAAGATTGTGAATACCGATGTTTCCGTAAAAAAGTACATTTACAATTTTTCGTCTCCATGAACTGTGTTGTGAAACTGTTGTTCATGGGTTATATGAGACATTGTGAGCATTATAGATGGATTCCTCTACAGTGGTTGCAGCATAATCTCTTTTCTTAAAGCTTGACCTTGTTTTATGAAAGGAAATGTTTATTACATACAGCTCATGATTTTTTGACATGGAATTTCCTGACATCGAATATACTTTTTACTTACCATATCCTGAAGTGGGACTTGATCATAAACGTCGAGCGCTTAATTAATAGAGATTGCCACAAATAAGTTTACCTAATTTATTACTTGACTTCATATATACTATTCAGTTGTGTGTTTGCTATATCTGTGCGTTTGATGGTCTCTATAGCGTTTGATGGTCTCCCACGGCAACAAATATTATTAACCTAATATTTAAACACCGCGGGCACTTTTATTGAAAGCCAATTCTGTAGATTTCTTAATGTTTCCTAATTTAATTTTTTACAGAATTTCGCAGGAAGAAAAAGTATTTTTTAATTCGGCTGAAATTTTTCGTTGAGAAAGGCTACCATCGTAACCATGTCTAAAGGTAGGTAACAGTGAACGCATGATGAAATGCAATAATTATGATGAATTATATAGTCACGATATTTTTATGCAATCAAAATGAGATACATAATTGATTTGAATCGGGACTTTTGAAAGCTGTAATGTTTATTAAAATAAGCGCTGCCTAATTAGTATGGGAACGATCTGAAATTAAATTCTTATTTAATTAATTTAATCAGTATTCTGTTCTTCGTACAAAAAGTATTTTATGAATAATAATTTTGTAATTTCCATTTTTTTAAACAATTATGTTTTCAATATTTATTTAAATTTCTATGTAATAATTATTTACATGAATTGTATGGATATTCGTATAATTAACGGATCTATTAGAATAGAATATAAGTGTCGGCACTGAAAAAATGGGCCCATGGCCTGTTGCCGATTCTTGAATTTTTCGTGACTTGATTCACAAGGGATCCGGCCTTTGGAACCCGATCTTTCCATAGCTGACGATTGATTGAGATAGCTGCTGGACTTATTGCCTGGTCCGTAATTTGCTAGGCATTTTAAGACTGAACATATGCTCCTGCATAGCTTCGTCTAGTCTGTTTTTGAAGCTGTTCATAATCGGAGCGTCAACGATGCTATCAGGGAGGCTGTTAATAATAATTGATTTAATTAAATAAATTCCATTAGTATAATATATTTAATTATTAAGAATAATGATATTTATTATTTTTACAGCTGGACAGGATTTACCTCCTCCCTACGCAGCGACTCAGGCGCCACTGGGCTTCTCCGGCCAGCCCCAGGGCTACCCCGCGCAACCTCAGGGCTACCCCCCGCAGCCTCAGGGCTACCCACCCCAGGCATACCCGCCTCAGCAGCAGACAGTGTACGTCCAGCAGCCGCAGGGGGCGTCGGTGCACGTGGTGCAGCCCACCAGCACCACCACCACCGCCTACGTCATCCCCGCCGCTGCCGTGGGCACGTGCCCAGCGTGTAGGGTAAGTCAACGTGACCCGAGTTTGGGGTAATCAATCTGACTAGCGCGTGGAGTGAGTCGAGGGTGACTGTGGGTGTAGGTGCCTGTGCACGGGGCTAATATTGGACGCGTGTAAACGTGGCAAATATATGCTACTTGAACTTTCCTAGCTACTTGCCTCGTGCATATGATGGGGGGAGGTTCAACTGCTTCAGTTGCTGAGCGAAACAAACGTGTTTGTTTTATTCGCCGATAGGCGTACCGCGTAAGGCGGCCAGTAGGGCTGAGGCAGCCGTGGTGTGAGGATATGTATCGCTCATCTCCTGGCTAGGTTAAGTGGATTGGGTGTTGTGAATTATGTCTTGTTCGAAAGAGAATGGCTCTTAGAATAACATTAGTAAGTGGGGTCAAGATGATATACAATTGTTCATGGAAATGTTCCATATGTATGAACCAATGTGGAATGTTTACCGTGCTGATTACTCCAACAAAATGAACAGAAAAACTGACGTTTTGAAGCTGGAACACCTTCCTAGTCAAGATTTAGTTTTTAACGATGTATCATTTTAATGGCTACAATTAAGAACGTACAATTATTAAAGGAACGTAAAAATACGAGTTATTGGAGGTAATCTTGGTAAAAACAAGCGGGGTTGAAGCAGACGACGTTTATGCATCAAACCCAGTAAAAATTTACAGACGTGGCAGCTTCTGATTTGTATTACTAGAAGCTGGGGCGGCTCTAAATTGTTAGGGAAGCTACCTATCGAGCACAGATTCCACCCTTCGGCTTGAGACGACGCACTGGCGGCCACGAACAAGAAAATACTGGCAGCTAATACTTGCTTCGTATGTCAGCCTACTTGCTAGTGAAACTCAAAGCGGTAAACATATGCCAGATGTAGAGGCAGCCAATAATAGTCCAGTGTACAGGCTTGTAAGTCTATAGCTGCAGTTATATCTACAGTAGTATGTTATTCAGTCAAAATTCTGAGTATGTTATTCCGAATTGTTGAAAATGAAAACAGTTATTGTCGGTGAAAGTCTCTTGTTCGTATATTGGTTTTATAGGAATAAAAATTCCCTCTTTTAAAGAAAATAACACAGTAAGAATGATTGGGGTATAAAATTACTAATAAAAGCTTGCTTTCGTTTGTTTTTATTTAATATAGTGATTTAATATATATTCATTATTTATTAATAATTTAATTTATTCAATTATGATTAAATATCAGCGTCTGATGACATATATCTATAGTCTATCTGAATCACCAACTCATTTCGATTAAAAGTGTTATTATTGTCCTTATGATATAATTCTTATAATTACCTCTACCACTGTTTTTTTACTATTATATATCATAATTATATTATTATAGGTACATTATTATATTAAAGTTTTTTAATAATTATAATAATTTACCTAATTTCAAATTTTTCCCTGACAGGTCGGGATCTTGACGAACGAGTTCACGTGCTGTGGAATTTTCCTGGCGATCTGTCTCTTCCCCTTAGGCTTTATTTGCTGCTTGATGATGATGGAACGCCGCTGCAGTAACTGCAGAGCTGTGTATGGCTAGTGGCAGTAACTGCAGAGCTGTGTATGGCTAGTGGCAGTAACTGCAGGGCTGTGTATGGCTAGTGGCAGTAACTGCAGAGCTGTGTATGGCTAGTGGCAGTAACTGTTCTGTGGGGGTGTGTGCAGTGCATGTAGCAGTAACTGTTTAAAGTTCAAATAACAGTGACTGCTCTGATAACTGCTTGGCTGAGGATCATTCCACAGTTCACGTACATTAGATACACTTCCAGAATTCACAGTTCTATTTTAATCCAAACAACTTCTGTGAACTTAGCCCCAGAACGATTATTTTAATCAAATCAATCTTCATATTTCCACGAAAGTTTTTTATATTTCATATCTGTTCTCTATCTTAAAGTTTACCCTTATTGAAATTATCGATGGACCGACGCTGGCCGCTTGTGTTTAGACGGTACGCTGATTTTAGTTATTGGATAATCCTATATAAAAAATATTTTAGTTAGGATAACGCTATATAAAAAATATTTAGTATTTGATTTGTGGATGATATTACAGGTTGGTTTGAAGGCTAATATATATCAGGATATATAATCTTGTGGAAGTAAATGAATCCATACAAAAGCTTTTTATTCTCCTTCATGAATGGCTATTTTTCACTTAAGGAAATAAGTAACATATCGGTGCAACTTGTTGGATGAGTCAATTTTTGGACAAAGTGATCCATTCAGTTTCTGAGTATGTGATTCCTAGATAGTTTACTGGATAGAGCGTCGTTGTTTTTCTTAATTTTATTCCTTTAAGCATTTAGTGTTTACGCTAAAATCTCTAAGAGATTTTAATTCTGGGGAAAAGTTGAGAATGGCACTGGCTTCATTAATATTGTGCCTGAATACCAGAAAAATATATTAAGTTTAAAATCCTGATGAAAATACAGAAGTTACTTCTAAAATTGAATGCGATTGTTTTATTATATGACTCGATTTCTGGTCATTAATGGATTTTGCAGGAATTATTTACCAGTTGACGCTAGCAATAACCAGCCATATAAATTTCATTAGATTGTTACATTTTTACATTAAATATTTTCCATTACATTTTTTAAATGAATGATTACAATTTTGGAAACCAGATTTACATTTTAGCTACGATTTATTCAGATAAATATTGAGCAATAAAAACAATGTCTTGATTTAAAGTTAATTTGAATTTTATTTAAATTGACGAGCAAAGCATCATTGTACACTCACATCATCATGCTTATTCAGAAATAATAAATCGGACTTTATTTTTAAATAAAGTTTCAACAGTTTTTCAAGTTTTCTAAAAACTTCTTTTTCAATTACACTTAGGCGTCGAATAATGATTCTGGATAAAAAAAGAAACGACCGCAGTTCTGAAATAAAAATCCATTTATTCTAAAGTTTCGGCTATCTACACTTTAGCCATCATCAGAGTGAATAAGATGATACTCTGGAAGCTTATTCATCATCAACCGCAGCAGCAGCAGCTCAGTGGTTGCAGTTCTGGGGATATACATTCAAAATTCGTTAAGTGAACGTAAGTACTTACGCTCTATTTTCTTATCTATGATTGGTGGATTTTGCTTGAAAGGCCGTCAATGATTGGCTGATGAACTTACGATCACTTAACTTTTTTNCTCTGTGCGCCAGTTTCTGGTCAGAATCGGCAAGGAGGCCGGGCGGTTAAGCACAGCAGAATTTGAATCAGTGAGTTGCGAGTTCGAGACCGCAAAATGCTGTGAATGTTCTGCTATGTTAAGAATCGGCGACAGGCCTACGGCCTAATAAACGCTGAAACCGCTATTATTATTATTAGGGGTGAACCTCATGGCCCCCGACCTCCTACAAAACCTATCAAGTTGATCAAACTTCATTGAGTTTATGTATCATTCCCTTAAAGTCAATAGCCTATTTACTGATAGAAATATTTGCAACCTCCATCTTACCCCTACAAATTGATAAATTACAGTCAGGAGATGCTTTGGTCTCGGTCTTCAATATTCAATTTCAATATGAATTCAAATAAAAAAATTGTATTCCATCATTCAACGATTGTGAACAATAACGAATAAGCAAGATATAGAAACGTTCAGCACCAAAAAAAAATCCATTTTGAGATATTGTGTTATTTTTCTACGATATCTTTACCATACATCTGTATGGTGGTCAATGATCGAATAGCGCCACGACAACAACAATAGTAACAGCAGTAACAGTAACAACAGTAGAAGTAGCAACGGTAACTGAGGCCGCAAAAATAGCAGCAACTGTAGAAGGTAGAAGCAGCAACAGTAGCAGCAACAGCAACAGCAGCAGTAACAGCAGAAGCAATTAACCTGTTACGTTTCATCAATAAATCCATAAGATGAAGAGCAGTAATGAGTGCGTGAGTCACGCTCATCAGCCTCATTATAAAGCACCCCTCGTCGTAGAGCAGCTGCCTCGTTAGAGTCTCATTAATAAGTACCTCCTCAGTATAGCACTCCAGCCTCAGTATAGTCTCATTATTAACCACCGCCTCAGTATAGCACTCCAGCCTCAGTATAGTCTCATTATTAACCACCGCCTCAGTATAGTCTCATATACAGTATACTGGCAGCATACAGGCATACAGTATACTGGCAGCATACAGGCGTACAGTATACAGGCAGCATACAGGCGTACAGTATACAGGCAGCATAATACAGGCTATGGTATACATGTATCTCGTATACACTTTTTTCACAACGTTTCTTTAATTTGATGATTAATGTTTGTTGCATTCGAAACGTCGTTAATAAACTAAACTACTTCTTGAAACATGCCTTTTGATCTACCAACGTCATCTTGAGAATTGTTCGACTCACTGATAATTTGAATAAACGAATTGATTGTAACGATAATTTAAATAAACAATAAACGAATTAATTATAAGGATAATTTATATGAACGAATTAATTATAGCGATAATTTAAATCAACGAATTAATTCAAATCAACGAAATAATTGTAAAAATTTAAATCAACGAATTATTTATAACGATAATTTAAATCAACAGCAGAGTATTTAAATCAACGAATTAATTACAACGCTAATTTAAATCATAAACGAATTCGCTGGTCATTAATCGAACGTGTATAGATATAAGTAAATTCAGCCATCTAATACTAATTCAATTTTTTGTGCACTACTGCCACACATTACAACCGATATTGTATATTGCATCTTTGTATATTTGTTCGCAGTTGTGCACTTATACTTTTATCGTGCCACAATATGCCACGAATTTGCTCTCATGCCACAAACAACTGCTAATGCCACAAATATAACTTTTAATGATATTTTCCGGCAAACGGCAGCCGTTACTGCTGAAAATAATGATTGTTGCCAGTTGCTTTTAATGCCACTGATACAACAAATTGCCATAAATGGCCAATAATGCTACTAATTTCAATAAATGGCCACTAATGCCACAAATTGCCATAAATGGTCACTAATGCCACAAATTTCAATAAATGGCCACTAATGCCACAAGTAAAGGCTGTTGGCACGCAGCCGACCACGCCTCAGACGGCGTATCGGCGGCCGCCCATGATGCGGCCAACAGCAGGCCAGCACAGTACAGCACAGCACAGCACAGCATGAACAGCATGCAGAGCTTACCACAGCACAGCATGAACAGCATGCAGAGCTTACCACAGCACAGCACAGCATGAACAGCATGCAGAGCTTACCACAGCACAGCATGAACAGCATGCAGAGCTTACCACAGCACAGCATGAACAGCATGCAGAGCTTACCCTGTCTCTTATACACATCTAGATGTGTATAAGAGACAGCAGTATAACCACCGCCTCAGTATAGCACTCCAGCCTCAGTATAGTCTCATTATTAACCACCGCCTCAGTATAGTCTCATTATTAACCACCGCCTCAGTATAGTCTCATTAACAGCCTAATAACACTATAACAACAGCACTAGTTTGTCTTTTAAAGAGATCCAGTATATTTTCAGTATACTCGTTTATATTCAGAGATCCAGAGCAGCAGCCACGTCCCAGTGAAGCTATCAGGAAATAAAGTGGCATGAAAATATTCCCAGAGTTATTAATATGAGTATTATTAATAATAATTAATTATTATTAATATTATTAGTAATTATAATAATAGAGTTATTATAGAGAGTTATTAATATAATTTAAGGCACAATTCTATCTGCTCTGATACAGCAACAGTTCAGCAGCAACGTGCCGGTCGCGAGTCAACAGGTTAGCAGCAGAATTTAAATGCCTGCCTGTTTTGCGCGGCACCAAAGTTCATTCTGCGCCGCGCCAGCGCCGAATCATCGCCGCGCCAGCGCCGTGTTTCCGCCGCAGTAGCGCAGCGTCAGCACAACACTGCAGCGTCAGCCCAACAGTGTCAGTTCGTCAGCACAACAGTGTCAGGTCGTCAGCGCAACAGTGTCAGGTCGTCAGCACAACAGTGTCAGGTCGTCAGTGCAACAGTGTCAGGTCGTCAGCGCAACAGTGTCAGGTCGTCAGCGCAACAGTGTCAGGTCGTCAGCGCAACAGTGTCAGGTCGTCAGCACAACAGTGTCAGGTCGTCAGCGAAACAGTGTCAGGTCGTCAGCGCCGAATCGTCGCCGCGCCAGCGCCGTGTTTTCGCCGCATTAGCGCAGCGTCAGCGCAACATTGCAACGTCAGCGCAACAGTGTCAGGTCGTCAGCAAGTGTCAGCGTCGCAATGGCCGGTATAGCAGCCTCGTCAGGAGTGTCAGTTAGATCGATGGCCGCTCAAGTGGCGTACAAAAGCTTCATTGATTTACGCTTCACTAACATAAAGCTGCGTCCGGCCAGCGCGTCCCATTGCCTGTTACGCACAGTGAAGGCGTAAACAACGCTGCCTGCCTTCATTGTTGCGTAAAGATGCCTTCATTGTTGCGTACAGTCAAGATATGCCTTCATTGTTGCGTACAGTCAAGATGCCTTCATTGTTGCGTACAGTCAAGATGCCTTCATTGTTGCGTACAGTCAAGATGCCTTCATTGTTGCGTACAGTCAAGGTGCCTTCATTGTTGCGTAAGATGCCTTCGTTGTTGCGTACAGTCAAGATGCCTTTATTGTTGCGTAAAGATGCCTTCATCATAATGAGTTACCTGCCATTTTAAAGCAGTTAACTATTGTAACGGAGATTACATTATCATACGGGGTTAACTATTATGTAAATTTGTATGCTATTGTGAAGTCGTTCACAATTTACATGAGCTTTGGTTTTGGATCGAAGAACTTGGAATCATGCATGGTTGCTCCTCCCGTAGAGTTTACTCCTCTGATTTATTTTGCGTTAATTTTTAATTTTACGTTGATTGTTAAGGTGAGTTAATTTCATGTCTTGCAATAACGTCGTTAACTAATTACGTGATCTTGGTTTTTATCATTATGTTATTAAACGAATCAATATACTAGCCACATAATACTGAGTTTTATTGTTAATAATAATTAAATATCTGATACTATTGAGTTAAATTGGAGTGATGCAGCAGATGCCGTGATGCTGCAGATGCCGCGTTGGACGCCGTCGGCTGTTGCCATAGCAACGCGAGACATGGCTGGTCAGCCAGGACG